CTTTAAGGTATCGTCATTTAATGAAGTTTGCAAAATTTTTTTTTGTAAGTTCATACAAGAAAAACTGCGTTCGCAACTTATCTTGAAGCGCTGAAAGTTAGCATTATCTCTAACAAGTTATTTATACTTGTCAATTCAGGTTCATTTTCCAGCAAAATATCTTTATAATTGCTTAAAAGTGAATTTATCCTTAGTTGAGAGACTTTTTCCCTGAATAAAGGCCACTGCAATAGACATAAATAAGAAGTTTCTCTGCTTATCATAATATTGTTCTCATAAAAGTTGCAAACACTTTTTATTTCATTAAATCCCTATTTTATCAACATTGCTAATATTTGGATACTATTGGCAAACCCAGCAAGAGAAACACTCATTTGATTTGTCAATATGAATCCAGCTTAGTTGTTGTCCGGGTTTTTTATTGCTTGACGGTAATCCATTTACGGTGTTATAAAACATAAATTCAATATCTTATGGCCATGTATCCAATTTTCCCAAAGTCATAGTACAATCCAAGTCATTGAACTTTTTTTTCGCATGTTTAGTTTCTCTCTCTTCTTCTCCTTTACGTTTAATATTAGGTTCCTCTGTACCATCTCTCTTTAACATCGAAAAGATTCTTAGTTGTTTTGACATTTTTTTAAAAATTTAAAAATAATAGTAATTAAGTATTTAATAATAAGTTAATAAAAATATCATATTATTGGTGTTGTTAAATGCACAATAAAAAAATTTTGACAAACATAATAACTTTATATATTCTATTAGATTATGTATTTTTTAGCAAAACTTGAACATTATTTTTAAAACTTTTATAAGTTTTAAAATGCAAACTAACATTACTTCACTTTAAGGAAAATAAGAAAAAAAACAAAAAACATGCTATTAAAAAAAGCAATCATTGTTCAAGCATAGTTTTTTTTAACGTAATTGCAAATGGAGTCATTTTAAATAAAATTTTGAATGCATTTTTGAACGCATGCAAAAACCATGCTCAAACTAGTTACTTTCTTTGTTCCATTGAAGAAAGTAGCTTTAGCGTGGTTTCTTTTAAAGTGGTTTCTTTTAAAGAGAATGGGTTAAAAATTTTTGTAATTAATTGTTTTTTGTTAAATAAAAATTTTCGTAATTAAAATTTTTTTGATAAATAAAAAACGATCAATAGTTAATTGTTTGGAAAAAAAAATTGCTATAGTAACGCGTTCATTTTGAAAAATTTTAGGCGATCGCAAATGTTTTCATTAGGAAAAGTAAAGGAATGTGACGCTCGTTTTTCTGTCTTTTTTTGTGCAGATGTTTGCATATTCGTCAATTTTTCGCGCCCTGATCAATGATTATCGACAATTTCTACATAAATTTGGTATTTTTTTTATGTGTTTCTAAACAGTGAATTTGGAATTTCATTTGGTAGCATCTCTGCTACAAAAAATAACCCTCTAAAAAAAAAAAAAGGTACTCCTACACTTTAATATATTTCTTGTAATTGAAGTTGGTAGGCCAAAAATAAAATATAAAATTTATTTGAATTGAGAAAATACTTATGCACTTCAATCATGCGTTTGATGTAGGTATTTTTCTAAAAAAATTAAACAATGTGCAAAACAACCACATGTTAAAAGATTTGGATGTGTTTTTTGATTAAATCCTTTGTTTGATTTTATGATTTTTTTATTATCTGTTACCACAGCAAATATTTTTTTGTTGTATTTTTCCTTAAAATCTTTAATGACATTACAAAAGTGTTTGGTACAATAATGGCTGTTTTTTTTTATTTGTACAATCAGTGATGTATAAAAATTTTAGACCATCATATGCACAGTGTTCATCATATGCACAGTGAGCAATAATCGAATAATTAATTGTTTTATCCTTGCATAATTGTTAATGTTAATTCTTCTTGGGCAAATTGATCAATCATTTTGTTGTTGTTTATTTCATTATAAACTATTTCTTGGAGCTCTCCTCCAAGTATATCATGATTAGGTGGATTATATCCTGATCTCAATGAATTGATCATGTCTAAAAAAGTTTGATTTTCAGAAGTTTTAAATAAAGCACTTGCAATAAAGAAATATTTTGCTATTTTTATATTAATATTTTCTTTCTGTTTATATTAGTTGATATTGTATATAATGACGTCAACTGTTGCTTTTACAAGGTGTTGGGTTATTGAACAAATTGAGGTTAAAGAATTTGTTTCAACTGATGATGGTCCAGCTGTTAATAAATTTACTCATATTTATATCATTCGGAAATACATTATCTCGATATTCATTCAAATATTTTGACAGATTGAGATTGTCATCTTCTGTTTCTTACATGACAACATTTTCATTGATCACAATTGACATCATCAGGTCTGATAACAAAAACTTTAACTGTTTAGTATTCATTAAAAAATCTTATTTAATTATGTTAAAATTTAATTACTATAGAAATGTTATTATAGTTACATAGAGTAGAATAACTAATTACAGTGTATACAGTAACTAACCCAGACTTTATTTGGGGTATCGTTTTTTTTAGGAAACTTGGGGAAGGAAGTGTTTTTGTGGTAGCCTCCACCTTCCTCCTCCCACAATTTAAACCAGGTTTTTAAGCATCAGTTTGCTTGTGTTCATTTTGCTTAGTTTCATCTGAAGATATGGAATTTAGAAAAATTATTTAGTAATTTTTCTTAATTTTAGAATTTTTACTTTTTAGTTTTAATTTTGAAATTAGTGCGAATGATTGTATGTAAACAAATGTCACGTGACTTAAAAATGTCCTGCCTGTGCGTGATTTTTTTTCCTTATGAACATAAGCTCAATTTCTTCCCTAAACCGAGTGCCTTGGTTAGACAGGATGTGTTTTTTCCGTATGATCAGCCCCATAGCATTGTATTTGCAAAACTAAAATAATAGTAATAACGCTTATTAAACGCATGTCTCAAATAGTTATTGTCTATATGTAATATAATACATTGCAAGGGTTGAATTAAGTGATTGCAATTTGCGATATCTGGAAAAATATCTGGTGTTTAAAATTTTAATTTATGCTAAGTTGTGCACTTTGTTTTAATGGAGCTTAAATTTATTAACAATTATGTTATAAAAACAATAAACTTAAAACTAAAAAAAGTAATAATACTCTCGTCACTAACTGCATTATAAAACTAAAAAAACTATAATAATGTAATTATATAGTAATGTAATTTTATATGCATTATAAAACTTTTATAATGCACTTATATTTTTTATAATTCATTCTTTGTTCAAAAAACATAAGTAATCCCAAATTTTAATTGAAGTAGAAAAGCATCTAAAAAAAAAATATAGTAGGAAGTCAAATAATACTAAAAACTTCAGGAACTTAACACTTAACACGTAGCCGTTTAATAAGTGTATTGACTAATTTTTTAATTTTCATTTCAATTTAAATATTAGAAATTCTATTCATTTAACTTTTACTAAAGGTTATTAGTTTTCACAATGTTTTAAGGCGCTTTTCAAAGAGATAATTTCGTATTTTTAATGATTAATTTTTTTTTGCTTTACTCAAGTAAAGTAAAATAGCAAACTAAAGATCAAAAGTTCATTTATTCAAAAAAAAAACTTACAATTGCTATATTGTTATTAAAACTTAAATTTTTACTTTGGTTCGTTTATTATTAAAAAGAGTTAAGTCAGCAAGAAAAAGTTAAGTATACTTTAAGTTTTTACTTAAATTATACTTTAAGTTTTTACTTTAAGTATACTTTAAATTGAGTTTACTTAAAGAGTATACTTTACATTGAGTTTTGTAAGAAGTTTTTTAAATCGTTTTGTTAATTAAACTTTTAAGTTTAAAACATGAGTTACAGCAAGTAATTACTTTTTTATCCATTTTTTTGTCCTGAAGAAAAAATAAGCTAAAATAATCAGATAATCAGTTATTTGCTTCTGCATTACCAACAAAATTTTTATTTTTTTCAACAAAAAAAATAACAAATTATGAATATTTTGGGCCCCTATACTGCTCAAGGGATACCAAAACAGGTTTGGGTTGTCCCTGGTATAAAAAATTTAAATATAAAAAGTTAAAAAGTGAAACTTAATATATATTAGGAGTAGATTTTTTTCAAGCTAGAAGTAGTTATAAGGTAATGGTAATAGTTTTTTTAGCTGTATGTTAAGTGCAGGTTTCTTCAGTTCAATATAAATACTCTTTTTGATTTAAGTTTATGTTTAAATAATGCTCTGTCAAGAATGGAGAATGAATTAGTACTTATAGAATTTTTACATTTAGTCACGGATGAGAGATGTTTCTTAATATGTGAGGTTTATACAGAATTGAGGTGTTCCAAAATCCTTATTGTATAGTGTCTAGTTGTTTCACCAATATACCTAGCATTACAGCTACCTACCTAGCATTACAGCTAGGACATACAAGTTTATATACAACAAAAGGTTTCAGAAGGAACTTTCAATCAGAACATGCTACCAATTTTGAAAAGTTTCAGGACTAATTTTGTCATTGATGTTAACTTTACAATATTTTTGGATATTAACTAATTTAACTGCTGTTAATGAATTTTTAACTGTTGTTGATAGGTATTTGAAATTTGTCAGATGTAGTTTTTTTTTGTCAACTAAGTTTAAAGAGAGAATTGTTTTGTTATAAATAAGTTCAATTTTTTCTAGATAAAGGCTAATCTGATCACTCTTGATTTGGTACACCCTATCTAGAAGAAGAAAAAAATAGTTTTATTGAGCCCCAGTTTATAAGTAATACTAGTGAAGTTATAAAAATTAGTTATTAGACCACTATTAGTTATTAGACCGGTTTTTTTATGAAAGGCTGATATACCAAGTTTTTAACTTTTGAAAATAATAAAAAAATAAATTTTATTTCTGATTTAGTTAACTTCTTTAGTTAACTTATGGTTGGGATGTTGGTTGACAATGTATTCAAGGACCTTTTGCGCATCTTTTTTTTTAATTATTTTAGATTTATTTTTTATTTTAAATGTTTAATTTTAGCAGAAATCAAATGTCCAGTATGTAATAGACGTATAGGTTCAGATGAAGTTGAAGCACATCTTCAGGCTTGTCTTGCTAAACCAAAAGTTTCATACAATG